ATTGTCTACACGTCAGGCCTCCGACGAGTCATATCTTCGGCACTGTAACTTGAACCATCTTGACAAAAACGTGTATGGAAAGGTGCTCCTTTTTTAATCTTTTTAACCAGCAGCTAAGAGACTTGTTGGAATCGTCCATCATAAGTTACTCGTTAAAATAAAATCATCGGAGTGATTCTAGGCAAAGAACAAAGACCGTCTACAGATGTCTGTACGACACTTTTTTGGCACCACATGGTACAGTGTTTACGGATTTGTTCAGCGGAACAAGCGCTGTTTACCCGGCCAAGTGGTCAAAATTTTGGCTGAAAGTCAAAATCCGGTATATCCTTAATCCTATTTCGTTTCCCGGGATTTTCTCTACTTTATAACTCAAACGCTTATAGGTGATCTCTATGCTATTCCGTCCCATATCTAATGGGAAGGAATGTGCTGATTATGTCGTCTATGCGGCACAACAATTTAATACAGCATCAACAGTGATGATAGAGAAAATTCTGAGGTAAGATTTTCTCATTCGCGTTATAAATTGGTGTAGGAAGAGATACCATCGCAGCCTCATAGCCAGCGTAGTAGTCCACGTCTTCATATGGAACTCATATCTCACCAATCCTATCACGTACCTAATGTCACATTCTATCCAACTTTGCGGAAGTATTCTTACCGTGATGAAGGTGGACCTGTAGCAGGTTATACAGATTTCGCAGTTCAAATCATGCAAAAAACCCTACTGGAACTTCAGCTTATATGTGTTTACACAGAGAACCCATCTTTGCCTTGGTATGATGGGGAGGGGGTGTGGAGCAAATCGGGAAAATTAAGTAATTCTCAGAAGTAAGTCACTGTGAGTTAGGTGCAGCGTCCCCAGCTGGAGCCTCCGAAAAAATGGCAATTTCTGACGCGCGCCAATCGCACTTGTTGCGCTTGCCTAGGCTACCGCTTTAGGAAGAAATCGCCGTTTTCCCTGTGATGATTATGCGCGCGGTACCCTCGGTATATTTTCTCTCTTCCTTCATTGCCTCCTCGTCGTCTATCTCTTGAACATTCGTCGACGTCATAGGCTTGTTCAATGCCCAAAATGAACTGCAGATGGTCTCAAATTGAAGTGTTTCGGCGTTTAGCTCACTTCTTTACATGCGTACGGCTTAGCATTTACAGTTTCATTTTTGAAGCCTTACCCTCCTTTTCTGCTACTGTGGATTCCATTCTGAGGGCCTGAACGTTGAGGAGAGTTCGGGATATAACAGCATTTGAAGTAAGACCTTTCAGTGGGAATTCACACTTCGTCCGATGTGTCAAGTGCAACAACGAACGCCTTCCTGCTCGTCTCGATGTGCCGTCGCTGTCACGTCAGCTGAAAGCGCTCTGTGTTATGGAGACGTTACAGTTCCGTCGTGCAGGATATCCCGTACGAATTCCATATGAGCGATTTGCGCAGAGGTGATTATATGATAATAAACAATTTGGTGTTGAAACAAGTTAGCATCCTACATTTTCGAATGTGAAAAACTTTAGGCGCTTTGGGTTGTGAGAAGCCTTCAGATTCTCCTAGCTCCTAGCCGAGGGCTCAAAAGGGTTCGGTTTTAGCAAGCCCAAAATTCCACACTTTTATAAGCGTTGGCTGATTTCCAATTCTCCTTTTTTTCCTAAAACCTTTTTCCTTTATTCCTTTTCCTTTTTTTCTTTTGTTTTTCTTCTTTCCCTAAAGCTATAATAAGGTGTCTTTCAAAACATGGCGTATTATGTTTCTCTTTAGCTACCGCTGTCTGCTCCCGTCGGATATTGCTCTCTGCCAGAAACAGAAAGAAATCATCATTGATATTTTGGATGGACAGGGTATCAAATTCTCCAATGATTTTCAAATTGGTAAGGTTTTAAACGGCATGTTTTTCAAAGGAGCTGGTTCTCGCATGAATTCGTTGTGAATTTTCAGGAACCAGCTACGTGTTTTTACGTGACCGTCTGGCTGACCGACTGCAGACTCTCAGAGAGAAAACCCAGCGCGATGCAGCTCATGTGATACAAAAGACGATGCGCACCTATGTTGCACGGAAGGGATATCTACGAAAGCGTCATGCCATCATACGGCTCCAAGCAGGGCTTCGCGGCTGGAAGGCGAGGTAAAGCTATGAGTTGTGTTTTTCAGAGGGGAACCGTAACGTTATTATACTAACTAGACCATAGTAATTGGAATAAAATGCTTCTAGACTCAAAAACCGTGCTTACGGGAATGTTATATGAAATAGTTGAATGTAGAATACATAGGATATGAGATATTTGTAGGAAGGAGTGCAGCGCTCTTCGCGAGCAGATGTTCAAGAACCTCAGCAACCAGACAAAGAGAAATCGTCGATTGAATGCTTACCATGAGACCTTAATGACAAGCACTTCTGACCAGGTAAGTGCTCATTAGTTGTTTACCTTCATAGCCAAACTTTTGCTGGTGTTCGATTTTTGCTCGCAAACAGATGCGGTCATATTTCAGAAATGTCCAGGAGCATTGTTGGGATGTTTTGATGTTGAAAATCTTGCCAGTAAAGAGATTGAGAGATCGATTGGCGAACCAAAGCCGAAGGCAGCAAATATGAAAATCACTACGGATTATTTGCCAAAGGGATATCTACGAAAGCGTCATGCATCATACGGCTCCAAGCAGGACTTCGCGGCTGGAAGGCGAGGTAAAGCTGCAGCCTGTTCCATTTTTTGAAGAGTCCTTTAATTTTCCCATGGTATGAGTTGTGTTTTTCAGAGGGGAACCGTAACGTTATTATACTATAGACAAGTAATTGGAGTAAGATGTTTCTAGACTCAAAAACCGTGCTTACGGGAATGTAATATGAAATAGTTGAGTGTAGAATATATAGGATA